AGTGGGAGGGGAAGAGAGGGAGGAAGAGAAAGAAAGAGAGAGAGAGAAAGAGAGAGAGAGACATCGATGTGAGAGAGATACATTGATTGGTTGCCTCCTGCACTCTGTCCTGATTGGGCCCTGGATATAGCCTGCAACTGGAGGTACATGCCCTTGACTGGAATTGAACCCAAGACCCTTGAGTCCTTTGGCCCAATGATCTAGCCACTGAGCAAAACTGGCCAAGGCTATTTTTCTTGTCAATTTCAAACTTTTTTTTTTTTGGTCAATTTAATTTTCTATATAAAATTTAGCATTTGTGTTTCTAATTTAAAAACTTGTTGGTATTTTTATTATAATCATGATAAGTTTTCATGTTAATTTAGAAATGAATGCATAGTTATGAAATTGAGTTCTTTAAAATCTAAGAACATTATATGCCTTTCTGATTGTTCCAAGTTTTCCTTTGTGTCCCAAGAGAGCTTTAAATGTATTTCTTCATATAGATCTTGCACATCTTTGTTCATTTTGTTCCTAGAAATCTTATCTTTCTTTTCTTCTTTCCCATTGTAACTGGGGTCTTTAATCCTTCATTATGTCTCTTAATTGGTTGTTTATATATGCATATATGTTATTTATGTCTATATATTTATTTTTTGGAAACATGCTATTTATAAAAATTTTAAAGTATATGCCTATTATAATAAAGGCCAGTGTTGCACAATGGGGTCTGAGGTCTATGAATTTGGCTGCACCATTGATTAGTCCTGTGGCAGTCAACAAGGTACTTAATCTTTATAAGCCAGTTTCTTCATGTGTCAAATGGGATAATAATAGTACCTACCTCCTAAGGTAGTTTTGAGGATTAAAAAGATAAAGCACAAAGATGCTTAGTAGAGTTTCTGGAATGCAGTGAGCAGTGAGTAAACGCTGGCTAAAACAGTTTTGTGCTCGTACCATTGAAGCTTAAGTCTAGTGCATGGGAGTCAGATGGGGAATAGATGTCAACCTTCCCAAACCACTCTTCTCCAGCCACACTCCTCTGTTCTCAAACAACAGCCCTGGACTGAACTGAGGGCTGCAGAGTGGGTGGGGGGAATTAAGGGAATGGGGATGTAAGGCTAGAGGCCCGGTTACACCTTGTTGTTGTAGCAAAGAAATAAAATGATTTGGTGGTGATTTGCATTTGAGGTGTCCAATGAAATCAGAGAGATGAATGTTAATGAACTAAGCAGTGGAAGTGAACAGAGCGCTTTTTCAAATTGTGACCTTAAATTGGAAGGGACTTGATAGTTTACAGGCCATTTATATGTATGTACTTGTATCAAATTCATAGGGAGTAGGTGGGTGTTGGGGAAGACAGGTCCAGATCTGCTGATCTAAGCTGGTGCTCATTGCTCTTCATGACTCGTCCCTTATTATTTATTCCAATCTGGGGCTAATTACCAAATTGTCAGCAGAAAAGACAGAGGACAAACTGGAAGAAGGGAAAACAAGAAGGATTAAAATATTTTGAGAAGAGATAGCCTAAGAGAGCTTGGGGATTGCAGTAAAGAATAGTATTTGCTGAATATACCATGTGCAGAAATCCCTGGGGAACTATGTTAGGAATAGTATAATAACAGCAACCATGTCTTAAGTGTCTATTATGTGCTGCCTGTTTTATGTGCATTTTTTCTTTTATTCTTAACAATCTTCCAAGGCAGGTGCTATTATGCCAATTACACCACATGTCTCAAGAAAGCCAGGCCTCAGTCTTCTTGGAGCTTAACATCTATATACTAATTGAAGAATACTTGTAAAACACACTTATAGGCCTGGACATAGGAGCTCCTGATAATGCAGAGCTGGGAAGGAATTGTGAAGAAGTCAGCCATAGCCACTGGGGTGAGCTTCCAAGAAATGTGATATGAGCAGTGAAAGGAAGGACCTTGTTTCTATGTCTGTAATAGGAAAGCTGGGAGAGAAATAGGATGGGTAAGTTAATGGGCAAGGAAGCAGGAAAGTTTTCCTGCAGCTGGAGTTAGGAATGTGGATGGAGTGTGGACTAAGCCAACTGCAGTGGAAAGGGACGCCCAGAGGAGACTGCCTCTAAGTGGGAAAATGCTCCATCAGCGACTTAGTCTGCTCTCCCTTTGCTGCATTGCTTTTTAAAGTGACAGTCCCCAGGCTTCAGGATTCTTAAGCTGAAATGGTCTTTGCTCATTGGCTGACAGTCTAAATTCAGATCGAAAGAATGTGGTGGGAGACAGCTGGTGGAAATTGTCCCAGTCCTGCCTTCAGTGGAAATGTCCATGTGCTGCTCGGCTGCCTCTTGATCAAGCCTCTCCCCTTTTCCGTCTCTCTTGTCCGCCTGTCTCTTCCTTCATCAGGTTTCTTAAAAAAGTAACCACCCGGCTCATTGCACCCAAGTGGTCCAGGCATACCCCTACTTAACCCACCGCTGCTGGCTGCCCCCCAGATGAACGCAAGCTTCTGGGGTGGTTTATGAGAAGTGACACTTGCTCCGCAGCTCCTTGTATCCACCACCGAGCAGTCAATGTGAAAGCCCACAGTGGATGTGACTGCTGGAAATACCGCTGGGCAGGGCGCCGGTGCTTCACGAACACGTGAGCAGCACGCAGGAGGCAGCGCCGGCACCCCATGATCCGGGACTGCGGCAAATGCGTGTGGGAATGGGAACAAGGGAGGGTCACTTCGTCCCTGTCCTTGTTCCTCGCCCACCCGAGCATGTCGTCCACGAGGGGGCAGGGTGAGGTTGCCCCAGGTCGCCCGAGAATCTGCAAATTCATCGCTGCCTTTCATCTCCACAACCTTCGGTCCCGAGGGGGACACCCCGGCCTTTCCCCTCCAGCCTTTCCCCTCTTGCTGCTAAGCCGACTTCTCCCCCCAAAAGGCTCCGATTCCCCTTCCCGCCGCAGGGGTCCAGTCTCTGCTCAGACTTCGCTCCTCACCGCTCACCCCGCAGTCAGGCTGCGCGCAAGTCTCTCCAAGTTTCCCCATCCTGACCTGAGAGTCGGGCCCTTTCTAGGACAATGTGAACAAAGGAGCGGAGAGAGGGGCCCGCGGGCGGTTGCGAGGGGAATGTGAGTGCGAGTGTGTGTGTGTGTGTGTGTGTGTCCCCGCGCGTGTGGTGGAAAACCACCTCGGGACCCGGCGCAGAGTGCGCCTAGCCTGGCGCTGCAGTGCTCCTCGCAGCTCGGGGCGGCGGGTTGCTTTGTCTCGGCCACGGCAGGGCGGGGAGGCGGCCGGCCGCCAGCAGAAACCCGAGGCCGGCTCTGGAGCCTGGGCTTCCACGCTGGCTCCCGGGCTGAGCGGGAAGCCCCCACGCGCCGGGCTCTCCTGGGCTCCGGCCGTGGAGGGGACACTGGACTTGCTTCTCCTCACCCGAGCTCGCTCCGAGTAGCGTGGTCTAGGGACAGAGGGACCCACTGGAGCGCTCCCCGCCCCGACTCTCCGCCCGCGCGCAGGTCCAACTCCGTGACAGAGGCGGGTCTTGGGCGCCCGGCGTCGCCCGCACTGCAGCCTTCAGGACTGCACCGGCGGGACCTGAACAGCGCCCACGGAGATGCCCGGCAGAAAGGCCGGCCAAAACCGACCCGTAGGCCACACCTGCGTGTGTGTGCGTGTGTGTGTGAGTGTGTGTGTGTGTGTGGGGGGGGGGGCTGGGGAAGGGAGGAAACCCAGGAGGCTGCCATCCAGCCCTGTGCTGGGGAACCCTGGAACGCAGCTCACACCTGAGTCTGCTTCAGCTGAGGCAGGAAATCAGGAGAGCTGCTTTGGCTGAGACTTTGGGGGCAGGAGCCTGGGCAGCTGGCCTCACCCTTCTTCAGCCAGCACCTGAGAAACTTTGGGGAGCCCTGGGCTCTTGGAATAAAAACACACCCCATTTTCCAACACTCTCCCTAGTCTCTCCTCTTATTTTACAGTCTTAAGTTCATGGGCTCGGTGAGTGTGTGTGTGTGCGTGCGTAGTGGGGTGGGGGGTGGGGAGTGACTCGATCAAGACTGCCCCAGCTCAAAATAACAGAAGAGGCACTTAACTCCGAGGCTGCTCCTTTTGCCCCTTCCCCACACTTGCA